TAAATAGGGTTCGAATTATGCACATGCAAAGCAGTCTTCCTGTGGACCTGTCATATGAAGTGTATGTGTGCTGTGTAATGTCTACCATGTACAGGCCTTTATTTCCTCTTACAGAGATCAACCTACTCCTGCTGACCATGCCTTCATGTGCTTTCCCTTCCAGGACAGCACCATCTTTGTTCAGGCATCATCCAGGGTCACCATCTACTACCTGGACTAGAGTTGACACAATCACATAAATCCTGGGGTCTGTGCCATTCTTCAAAAATGTCTGATACACATCAGGTCCTGCTGCAGCTGCTCATCTTATGACTTGCTACAAAGTTAAGCTGGCCGTAGATGGATCAAATCTCCGCTAGTTCAGCAGGGCCCAGCCCAAATTCGATCCATCCATGGGCCGGCTGGTTTTACTAAAGATGATCCATCTATCAACTTCAGCATAACCGGCCTGTTGGATCTTTTGCATGCGATCACTACCAACTGCTATAGCCGCCAGCGGTGATCATTGTGCTCTGCCGGCAGGGAAGCCACTTCCCTAGAAGAACACAATAGCGCTGCAGGAGGGATTCAGTCAGTGTTGTTGGGAGAATCAAGCAGTTTTCTTTCCTTTGACCTGTGGTGGAAGTAAAGAAAAGTGCATAACCTATGGGCTGCTTTAAAGTTGCGGTTATGATCACAAGGGCAGAGGAGACTGCGTAAATGCTTCTTGCTACCTGCAGCAGACTGTTCACATCATTTTAGTTTAGGCAAAGTCACTGGCTGGAACATTTGAATTGCTAAAACACACTGATTTTTTGTATGGAAAGGTATACTGTTGCTGTCTAATGGATATGTCAGGAAGTTATCTATGCAAACGGGGCAATTTACTCTGCGTGCTGGGACTGTTCATGTGGCTAGAACAGGTAGATCCGCTCTGTCAGCACTGTAGGGAGCAGGAGGAATAGAACTCTGCTACTTTTGTGTTCAAAGGTTTTCATACCCTGGCAGAAATTGTGAAATGTTGGCTTTGATTTTGAAAATATCACTGATCATGACAAAAAACTGTCTTTTGTTTAAGGATTATGTGCTTTACAATATAAGGATGATGATCATATGAAGCCATTTATTATCACATAGTTGTTTGGCTCCTTTTTAAATTATAATGATAGCAGAAATCACCCAAATGGCCCGGATCAAAAGTTTACATCCCCTGGAATGTTTGGTCTTTGTACAGACACACAAGGTGACACACACGGGTTAAAATGGCAATTAAAGGTTAATTTCCCACATCTGTGGCTTTTTAAATTGCAATTAGTGTCAGTGTATAAATAGTCAATGAGTTTGTTGGCTCTCACGTGGATGCACTGAGCAGGCTAGATACTGAGCCATGAGGAGCAGAAAAGAACTGTCAAAAGACCTGTGTAACAAGGTAGTGGAACTTTATAAAGATGGAAAAGGATATAAAAAGATATCCAAAGCCTTGAAAATACCAGTCAGTACTGTTCAATCACTTATTAGTGAAGTGGGAAATTCAAGGGTCTCTTGATACCAAGCCAAGGTCAGGTAGAGCAAGAAAGAGATTGCTATTTAAACCATATATCTATAAATGTTGCGCTCCTATTATCCAACTATATAAAGTGTGTGAAATATACTATTATATATACAAACTGACATAAAATCTTTTGTCAGTTTGTATAAAAAAAAAAAAAAAAATTTTGTCAGTTTGTATATATAATAGTATATTTCACACACTTTATATAGTTGGATAATAGGAGCGCAACATTTATAGATATATGGTTTAAATTGCACAGTTGGAGTATGTGTTAATTGTTAGCGATCCCTAAGGTTTTTTTGTTTGGCTCGCAAGTTACACACACCTGTATTTTGTAAGAAAGAGATTGCTGCCACAACTACCAGAAGAATTGTTCGGGATACAAAGAAAACCCCACAGGAAACCTCAGGAGAAATACAGGCTGTTTGGAAAAAGACGGTGTTGTTGTTTTGAAGGAGCACACTACAATGATACTTGAACAAAAATGACCTGCATGGTTGAGTTGACAAAAGGAAGACTTTAATGCACCAATGCCACAAAAAAGCCCAGTGAGGTGTGTTAAGGTGTATCCAGGCACACTGTAACCTGGATTTTTTGTGGCATTGGTGCAGTAAAGGCTTCTTTCTGACCACTCGACCATGCAGCTCATTTTTGTTCATGTATTGTCAATTACATATTAACTCAAAAAATATCTTCTCTCAGCCTCCTCCACATTATTATTTTTTTTTTATATATACGCTGCTGTGGTCCAACCTCCTATTTAGAGGGTGGCTATGTTCCTTCACTCTCTTTAAGAATGCAGCTACCCTCTCTTGTTCCTGAGATGGACTAAGGACTGTAGACTATAGACAACAGGATTTGTAGTGTGAATATAGCTGTGCACATGACCACAAGGAACATGAACTGCTTCTGCCAAACAGAAGGAAGTGGGGAAAGGAGAGGTTGTGGAGATCATGAAGAACATTACAAGGAGGCAAAAGAGATAGTAAGAGATGGTTTCACAGCAAATAGATTACAGGGCCATTAAGTAGGGGATGTGCATGCATTATTTTTGGGGAATAAGGATATCGTTTAGTGTCACTTTAAACCCTTGTGTTTGATGAGAGGTCATTTTTTTTCCAGCTAAAGAAGAGTTACACTTTAAATGTAATCAAATGTATACATTTATACACATTATCTTATTATATAATTGATAACTTTTTGCCTGTTTTTCACTTTTTGTTTTGATTGGGGATAACTCAGGAGCTGAGTAGCGATGGACCCATACCCTATCATTACTGCCCTGTCAGACCCAATGCAAATCACACAAGCTGTCTCCCATCTCCTGAGTTTGGACAGCAGTATCTTTTTTTTTTTTTTTTTTTTTTTTCCTTTTTCTTTTTGCTGCTATGTATACTAAAGTGGTTGTCTCTGTCTATCTATCCATTCATGTCCAGGGTATCTGACCCTTGGCGATTGCATGGACTGTCACTCGTAAGCGACTTTTTCCATGAATTCTCTTAGCAATTATTTACAGGGTAGGTTGCCAGGTCTTTCCCCACCCCTACCATGCAGGAGATCCCGCAATTATTTAGCAATTATTTACAGGGTAGGTTGCCAGGTCTTTCCCCAACCCCTACCATGCAGGAGATCCCGCATGGCCAGGGATGAAACTAGGACAATTTAGACAGGAGCCAATTAACCTACCAGCATGTCTTTGGAGTATGGGAGGAAACCTGAGTACGCAGAGGAAACCCACATGAACACAGGGAGAACATGCAAACTCCATGCAGGAGACGCCATGGTTGGGAATTGAACCCATGACCCAATTACTGCAAGGCAGAAATGCTAACCACTAAGCCACTGCGGCGCCCAAAGTGGTTGTAAACCCTCACATATACCCAGTGAAGTGACTGGCCTCAGGTGATACACAGAGATTAAACAAATCCTCCTACATAAATTGTACCTGTCTGTCTGCAGTCTTCTCTACATCCATAGAATTGCTGATTTTATAAAGCTTGTATAGCTGTCAAAAAAATTGGGCGGAGAGCTGAAGTTACTCTGCAGAGATCAGTGAGGAGAGCTCTGAGAGATGATTGATGGGAAGGGACAGACCCCTCTCCACACAGCTCACAGGAACAGAGCTGAGGCTGTCAGTCTGCTGGAGGTTCCCCATCACCATTTTCCTCTTGGTGTCAGGAAAACTTGTCAGAAGTGATTCAGGCTGATAGCAGGGGAACAAAGCAGCATCCAGAAATGACACTTAGTGCTCTGGATTGAGACAAGTCCACACTATAGAGCAGGATTCCCCAAACTTTCCAAGCAAAGTGCCAGTTTAGTGTCCTTAAGGCTTTAGGGGGGCTGGACTGTGGATAGTGGCAGTAGAAAATGCCGTCATTGGTTTTAATTAGAGGAATAGTGCCCTGTTGTTGTTATCAATGAAAATAGTGCCCAAATCATGGTATCAGCAAGGGGAAAGATGCTGCATTATTGGTGTCAGTTGGTGGAATAATGTCCCAAGGGCCAGATAAAGGCAAGCAAAGGGCCACATCTGGCCTTCGGGTCGCAGTTTGAAGACCACTGCTATAGGGGGTTGTTCATACTCTTGTCGGAGGTTTACAACCATTTTAAGATCTTTGAGACCAACAGGTGCTGTCAGGGAGCTGAAAGTCACTGTCAGTCATTGAGACATCTCACAAGTCACCATTGTTCTAACTGCTTTAATGCGCTATTGACCCAAAACCAAAAATTTTATATATTGCTGCTTACCAGTCATTAGATGTAGTGACTGTATTCGTTTTCTTTTTTAGGCTCTTTGTTTTCACGTGGTGATCTGGCCAGTAACACACCACCTGTATTAGAGTGCCTCCACTCTGGATGAAGAAGCACAGGAAGCAGATTTGAATGGAAACATTGTCAGTCTGGGAAAGGGTGGTGTTAGAAGTACTAGCAGATTTAAATACACTAACAAATTTAAACTTAACCCCAGCTAAAACTTTATAATCAGTTACAGTAAACAGTTTTTTTTCCTTTTTGAAATAAAGGATTTCCATAAATAAATACAAATCTGATCGTTTTAAGCACCCCTGTCAGTAGTAGATTGTTTGTTTGTCTCATTTCTGAAAAACAACAGACTTACTGGCTGTATCGCCTGATGAAACTAGAAGAAAGAAAGCTTACAAATGAATATGAATGCAGCCATCACATGTAAGAATTGATAAGGTGCAATATAATATAAATGTTTGCTTTTGGGTTTAATACTGCTTTCGCTTACTGAGCTGACATCTGAATTGCAGCCATTGTGTTCCTACACATATGCAAAGCACCATTGATAGAATACAGAATATCATATTGGAAATGAGAGAAGTAGTGCTCAGAATGTTTGTGGTTCTCACTTAAGTGACTGAGAAATCTGATCATTTCCTTTGTTTTTATTTTTATCAGTTACCTGGCTGAGCAGTGCTGGAATGGCGGATTCATCTACCTGATCATGTTGCGGCGCATCAAACGCAAAGCTCCTCTTCCACCTTCCAATGGCGGCCGCAGCAGCTCTTGTGAACCCAAAGCAACCAGTTCTACCTCACAGCCCAGCACTAGGGCAGCACAGAGCGGAAAGAGGACTCGGAAGTTTGGTGTCATCTCCAGGACGGTGGCCAAAGACAGCAAGGAGAATAAAGGGGGAGAAGGACTCTGCTCGTGAGAGCCGCCAGTACGCGCCCATGGAAGTGGATGGAGGGCACTCTAGTGATGAGGCATCCGGACCAGACGGTCACATGAAACAAGAATTGCACAGCAGTTATGATGAGGAGAGGTGCGAATACCATGTGTCGAAGGCTGCAAGGACTGCGGCTAAATCAATGGACTCTTCCGTGCAGGTAAACTGTTATTTTATCGTATTGTGATACTGAAAACCAGATGCATTGCAATAGAATATAAAGATAGGACACCAAGAGCACAAAATGTTCATAGATCTCCTGGACAAACTATTCAACCCCTTCCTGTCCACCTCCTGTGGCTCTTTAACTGGGTCCTAAGGCCGGGAGGAAAATCACATGATCGGGAGCCTTTCCCGCCAGCCCCTGAACATAACTAGAGACCAGGCATTGTTGGAGATAGCTTGATCACTGTGTTGGGAGTGCGCAGTGCAGGAATCTCAGCTACCATGGTCACATATATGAGGCTTGTAGGTTTTTTTTTTTTTCTTTTTACTAACAATCAGGAAGGCTTTATAGAAGACAAGAACAGTACAGAACAAATAAACTCCTATACCCTGAGTTAAAGTCTGGGGAGGTACCGTAGTCCCATAAGAGGATAAGGGGAGTCCTGATGAAGTCACGAGGTCACATGACGCAACGCGTCGACGGCACAGCGTGGTGACGCACTTCCGGCGTGGCGCCATCTTGGAACACCCTTTAGTTCTATGCCTACACCCAACATATGGGAAAAAACGCTGTATGAAACTCTGCTCATGTGAGTTTGCACTTTACTTGTTTAAATGTTATAATTAAATGGTCTACACTATGGAGGATGTCTTCTTTTTTCTTATGGGGATTTGAGCTGGGATTCATCTTGCTCATTGGCCCGCAAGGATACCATAGGAGAGGTGGAAGCTGTGTTCTGGGGAAACATTCTCAAGCCATATAATCGTGAGGAGTTTTTCCTAGACCCAGTGGTGGTATACTAAATGCTCTGTGGCCCTGCAGGGTCGCAGGTAGGAGGTGAGAGGCCATTTCAGCCGTTATTGGATCACATTCAAGGGTGTGTGGGTTCACACACATTCCTTTGATTTGCATGAACAAAAGGAATGTGACATAGATCACTGGACTTTTTTCCTCGTGTGTATTGTTTGTAGTGTTTTCACACTTTGTATTAACTCCACATTAATTATATATTTAAATCCTATATTGAGGACTGAAAGTGTCACGCATCTATTTTTGCCTTATGTGGATAAAAGAGCTTGTCTTGCCCCTGCACATGTTGATTGCTTCACTATATAAGGCCCATGTGGGAACTAGTACACAGTAATCTCACTTGGGGGTCACTATATTATTTTATATATGTTTATGCATAAGCGCTATTGCTTAACATAAGAGCGCAAGAGGATTTTGTATATTGCCCATAAGGGGATAGCTGTCCAAATGTAAAGATAGAAGAAGGCAGTGAAAACAAGGAGAAAAGGGAAGGAAATAGAGGGGGGGGGGGGGTAAGGGGGGGGTAACTTGAGATATGCAAGTTTGTACATAGGCAGGGCCGCATCCATCATAGCTTCCCAGGAAGACACAGTAGGAGGTGTTGAGAGGTTCCACCTAAGGCGGATTTCTTTCTTGGCATAGAAGAAAAGCAAAGAAATCAGCAATTTTGGTATGATGGTAATGTTAATCGTTCTCCTGAATCCCGAGAAGGGCTAACTCCTGGGAAGTAGGACGGGACAGTTATCAGAACAAAAACATTAGTCCAAAAACTTGTTAGATTTGGGCAATCCCAAAACCTGAAGATAGGATCCTGGATGGACATGGCAGTGAGGACACACTGGGCTGCGTATTGGGAATATTATTTAGGGAGTATAGTATACCCTATGAAGAAATTTAACTTGGATCAACTTATCTCTAGAAGAAATCACCAGTTTAGGACCACCCTCCAAACATTCTGCCCAGCTTTCTTTATCCAGGTAGGGAATATCAGCTCTACACTTTTGCCACACCCTCTCAAAGTTAGGGGAGTCAGTAGTAAGGAGGGTTCCATACAGTATAGAAAGAGGCTTGTCTATATCACCCTGGGCTAGCAGCTCTTCGATCAGATCAGCCTGAAGGAAGGGCTGCTGAGGAAACAGCCCTAACAGCATGACCTATTTGGCAGTAACGGAATAGCATCCAGGTTGGCAGGTGGAACTTACTAGAAAGTTGCATAAAGGACAAATAAGTCCCAGAGGGCATAATATCCTCCAGCGTTTTGATACCTCTGCGTGCCCAAACTTGAGGGTCTAAGACAGTATGAAGATGAGGGAGGGAGGGATTACCCCACAGAGGTTGTTGCGATGGACCACTGATTCTGACTCAAAAAATTGATGATGGGCAACCCTCACACCATCCAGGTGGCACGTCTCGGAACCGGAACACTGACATAGGGCTTGGGACCCCTGTATACTTAATTTTGGAGATCAGCAAAGAAGCCTAGGCAGGCAGACTCAAAACATATCGCAGCATTGGATCTATGGCTCGTGAACCACCAATATACGGAGACCAGCATTGCCGCCCAGGAGTAGGTATGGAAATTAGGTAGAGCCAGCCCCCCCCCAAACCAGAGGGAAGCCAAAGTGTGGATTTAGCCAACCTGGGCAGTGTACCGTTCCATATGAAGTAGCCCACACATGAATCGATCTCAGAAAAAAATGAAACGGACCCAAATAGGACAGTTCCATAAAAATGAAGTTAAACTTAGATAGGAGCATTATTTTAATAAGATTAATGTGAACAAGGAGATTCAAAGAAAGGTTAGCCTAAGAAGAACAACGCGACTTAGGAAATGCCAGCAGTGGAGAAGGTTACAATCGAAATAACGCTGCCGGTCCTTCGTTACAATAACCCCCAAGTTCTTAAATTTGTCCACCCAGCACAGTGGCGAAGGGTTGGCAGAAGCAATTGCTCACTCATCAATAGGAAAGAGGAAAGATTTGGACCAATTGATTCTGACCCCCAAAAAGGTTTTGAAAGTACTAAAAATATGCAGCGCAGCCAACAGGGACGGGCCTTTGTCGCTGAGATATAACAGGGCATCCCCTGCATATAGGGACATCTTCTCCTCTAGCATCCCCACCCGCAGACCCCAGACCTCTGAAGATCCCCGAACCAAAATGGCCAGGGGTTAGGCTTGTAAGTTTTAGGCTAGCCTTTGTGTCCGTAGTCACATGTATGGGTTAGGGGCTCGAGTTAGGGATGAATGTTAGGGATAAAGGCTAGGAATAAATGTGAGGGTTAAAGGCTAGGGGTAAATGTTAGGGTGAGGGTTAAAGGCTAGGGGTAAATGTTAGGGTGAGGGTTAAAGGCTAGGAATAAATGTGAGGGTGAGGGTTAAAGGCTAGGAATAAATGTGAGGGTGAGGGTTAAAGGCTAGGGGTAAATGTTAGGGTGAGGGTTAAAGGCTAGGGGTAAATGTTAGGGTTAGGGGTAAATGTTAGGGTTTGCAGCAATCATTAGGGTTAGTGGTAATTGTTAAGGTTAGCATTCAATGCAAAAATGCAACACTTGCGTTTTTGGTGGCGGTCCATTGAAGTCTATTACGCACAAAACACAATCTGCTGCGGGAAAAAAAGTCCCTGACCCCTTCTAGAAAACGCACCGGCTCAAAATGCACAGATGTGAACTAGATCCATAGGAAACCATGTTAAATAGACACTAGTGCATTTCTGCAAAGTGCACTAAAAAAATGCATAGATGTGAACCAGGCCTTAAGGCCCGTCGTCCTTGCTGCTGCACATATACAGTGGGGATCGAAAGTTTGGGCACCCCAGCTAAAAATTTGTATTAATGTGCATAAAGAAGCCAAGGAAAGATGGAAAAATCTCCAAAAGGCATCAAATTACAGATTAGACATTCTTATAATATGTCAACAAAAGTTAGATTTTATTTCCATCATTTACACTTTCAAAATAACAGAAAACAAAAAAATGGCGTCTGCAAAAGTTTGGGCACCCTGCAGAATTTATAGCATGCACTGCCCCCTTTGCAAAGCTGAGACCTGCCAGTGTCATGGATTGTTCTCAATCATCGTCTGGGCAGACCAGGTGATGTCAATCTCAAAGGTTTTAAATGCCCAGACTCATCTGACCTTGCCCCAACAATCAGCACCATGGGTTCTTCTAAGCAGTTGTCTAGAAAACTGAAACTGAAAATAGTTGACGCTCACAAAGCTGGAGAAGGCCATAAGAAGATAGCAAAGCCTTTTCAGATGTCAATATCCTCTGTTCGGAATGTAATTAAGAAATGGCAGTTATCAGGAACAGTGGAAGTTAAAGCAAGATCTCGAAGACCAAGAAAAATATCAGACAGAACAGCTCGCAGGATTGTGAGAAAAACAATTCAAAACCCACGTTTGACTGCACGATCCCTCCAGAAAGATCTGGCAGACACTGGAGTTGTGGTACACTATTCCACTATAAAGAGATACTTTTACAAATATGGTCTTCATGGAAGAGTCATCAGAAGAAAACCTCTTCTACGTCCTCACCACAAAAATCATCGTTTGAACTTTGCAAATGAACATATAGACAAGCCTGATGCATTTTGGAAACAAGTTCTGTGGACCGATGAGGTTAAAATTGAACTTTTTGGCCGGAATGAGCAAAGGTACGTTTGGAGAAGAAGGGGCACAGAATTTAATGAAAAGAACCTCTGTCCAACTGTTAAGCATGTGGTTGGATCAATCATGCTTTGGGGTTGTGTTACAGCCAGTGGCACAGGGAACACGAGTAGAAGGAAAAATGGATTCAATAAAATTTCAGCAAATTTTGGATGGTAACTTGATGCCATCTGTGAAAAAGCTGAAGTTAAAGAGAGGATGGCTTCTACAAATGGATAATGATCCTAAACACACCTCGAAATCCACGGGGGATTACATCAAGAGGTGTAAACTGAAGGTTTTGCCATGGCCTTCACAATCTCCTGACCTCAACATAATTGAAAATCTATGGATAGACCTTAAAAGAGCAGTGCGTGACAGACAGCCCAGAAATCTCAAAGAACTGGAAGACTTTTGTAAGGAAGAATGGGCAAAGATACCTCAAACAAGAATTGAAAGACTCTTGGCTGGCTACAAAAAGCGTTTACAAGCTGTGATACTTGCCAAAGGGGGCACAGTACAAGATATTAACTCTGCAGGG